ACGTGTAAGGTGTGTGCCCCCTGCAGGATCAATCTGTATGATAAGTGGTGTATTGACCAGCAATTAAATGTCCTGTCCTACATAAATGCAACCAAATACTATCAGTATAAACTGTGCCAAACCTGCACGCCGCGAGAGATGACTCAACAGCGAGAGATGACTCAGCCGCGAGAGATGGCTATAGCGAGAGCTGACTCAGCAGCGAGAGATGAATGAGCAGCGAGAGATGGCTCAGTCGCGAGAGATGATTCAGCAGCGAGAGATGACTCCTCCGCGTACTACACTTATACTACAAAGTGGCCAGTTCTCAGCTTCCAGCTCCACAGGTTGTTCCGCGTGCTAAAGTTGTACTAGAAAGTCGCCAATCAATTCTCATCTTCCAGCTCTACAGATTGCTCCGCGTACTGCAGTTGTACTATACAATCGCCAGTTCTCAGCTTCTAACTGCACAGATTGCTCCGCGGACTAGAGTTGCACTACAAAGTCCCCAATTCTCAGCTTCCAACTCTACAGATTGCTCCGCGTATTAAAGTTGTACTCGAAAGTCGCCAGTTCTCCGCTTCCAGCTCTACAGATTGCTCTGCGTACTAAAGTTGTACTAGAAAATCGCCAGTTCTCAGCTTCCAGCTCTACAGATTGCTCCGCATACTAAAGTTGTACTACACAGTCGCCAGTTCTCAGCCTCCAACTCTACAGATTGCTCCGCGTACTAGAGTTGTACTAGAAAATCGCCAGTTCTCAGCTTCCAACTCTACAGATTGCTCCGTCTGCAGATTGCTCCGCGAATTAAAGTTGTACTAGAAAGTCGCCAGTTCTCAGCTTCCAGCTCCACAGATACTCCGCGTACTAAAATGGTACTACACAGTCGCCCGTTCTCATCGTCCAGCTCGCCAGATACTCCACGTACTAAAGTTATACTACAAAGTCGCCAGTTCTCAGCTTCCAGCTCTACAGATTGCTCCGCGTACTAAAGTTGTACTAGAAAGTCGCCAGTTCTCAGCTTCCAACTCTACAGATTGCTCCGCGTACTAAAGTTGCACTACACAATCGCCAGTTCTCAGCCTCCAACTCTACAGATTGCTCCGCGTACTAAAGTTGTACTAGAAAGTCGCCAGTTCTCAGCTTCCAGCTTGACAGATACTCCGCGTACTAAAGTTGTACTGCAAAGTCGCCAGTTCTCAGCTTCTAGCTGCACAGATTGCTCCGCGTACTAAAGTTATACTAGAAAGTCGCCAGTTCTCAGCTTCCAGCTTACAAATTGCTCCGCGTACTAAAGTTGTACTACAATGTCGCCAGTTCTCAGCTTCCAGCTCCCCAGATGCTGTGCCTGCCACGAAATCTGCGCATGGAGGTTCACAAAGTGCTGCGCCTGCCACGAAATCTGCACATGGAGGTTCACAAAGTGCTGCACCTGCCACGAAATCTCCACATTGACATTCACAAAGTGCTGCGCCTGCCACGAACTCTATACATGGAGGTTTACAAAGTACTGCACCTGCCACGAAATCTGCACATGGAGATTCACAAAGCGCTGCACCTGCGACGAAATCTGCACATGGAGGTTCACAAAGTGCTGCGCCTTCCAACAAATCTGCACATGGAGGTTCACAAAAGTGTTGTGCCTGCCACGAAAT